CACCTCCTCCTGGAATAAACAGTATAAAAGCATAATTTCCATTTACCTCAGCGAGCTGAAATTTTGCAGTTACCGTAAAGAGCTGAAAAATGTTTTACAATTAATGAGCTGGAAAAAGAAAAACAACGGGAGGGTCACAGAACGTAAAAAATCTGCAAAGCAAGAGGCTTCGTTCCGGAAGCTGTGGAAAAAGGAGATTCGGGAGGGGGAACGAGGAATAAGCGAAATCAGAGAGTACAAAGCAGCAGGCCACGTGTTCCAAGAACTCAAGGTCTTCGCTTCTGGAAGGGCGCCAAATCTTGGCGACGAGTTTCGTCATGTGGTCGCACGTGGACACGTGAGACCTCGAAACGCCCGTCACGTGCATCCCATGCGCTGTCGCGGAAGGTTTGCAATATTTGGCAAAGATCTCGCTCTTTTCGCTGCACGTTCAATACATTGAATTTTGTTTCCTTTTTATTATTATTATGGATCTAGTAACGGTTTCAGTTGAAGCCCTTAGTTTTGCTGTTGAGTTGGATTTTAAATTAAAATTGGAGCTACATATTTTTTGTTTGTAATCAGAGATAACTTTTAATTTTAGAATGCCAGAACTTTTTTTAATGAATTTTTTGAAAAGTAATGATAAAAAGGAATATATTCAAAGACCATGAAATTTTTATGATCTGTACTTGATGTGTATTTTTTTCTAAAAATAATAATAATAATAATTAAAATTTTAAAAGATTCTGTTTAATAATTGTTTATAACGCCTACTTAATAATAAATATTTCTTATTGAATGGCTAACTTTAACGTCATCTACATGTATTTGCTTTTAAATTAATTTTTAATTGATTGCTTTTTAATTAAAGTACTTATATTCATCTTCTTGTTTTTTTCCAGAATACTAACTAAGAGAATAACTGTGATTTAGGTTGTGTAGCAAAAAATAATTTTTCCTTTCACAATCTTTTTTTAAAGATATATATAGGGGCTGGTAAAATTAATTTTTTGATTAATTTTAGTGTCTCATGAGTATCTGCAAATATCTTATTAGGGAGAATAATTTATTGCTGAAGATGGGAAACCATAATTTATCTTTTAAAATACAATAAGCGTTTTTATGTGAATAACTAAATAATAAGTTGAACAAGCTAATAAGAAACAAAACAAAATGTAATTATGTATTTGATAACTTGAGATTATTATTGGTTTGTTAGATATTGTAAACTTATTTGGTACTTCGGTATTTTTTTAATAAATGTATATGCTGAACCTGATCAAAATTTCAAATTATTACTTCACATACAACTTGGATTGCTCTACAATATGCTTTTGCTTACATGTACAGAATTTTAGCCTGCAAATAGTGCATTTTCTGAGTACGTGATAAAACAGAGAGAAATATAAATGATAAAACTACTGTGAAATTTTGTTGCCAAAAAACTATTGAATTCCTTTATGCGATTATTAAGCTTATGTAACAGGAAACTGTAAAACTGTTGTCTGTGTTCAGGTCAGTTAAAAATAAAATCTCATTTCGAATCCATTCTATGCATACTTAAATCAAGGTTAATGCAACTTTAAAGCATTTTAATGTTGATCAGGGGTTTCCCTTTTCAAGATAGCTACTTTTCGGCTGTTTATACCCAGAGATACGAAGTCTGTTAATAGTTTATGAATGTTTTCCTATACTTTTTTGTGATCACAGAATGAATACGATCATTAAATACTAAATATATTTTTATATTACTGAATCTTGAATCTAAAATAGGTTGGGGTCTACGGCCTGCTGACCTTAGTCATTTGTGAAAAACTCTTTAAATCCACACAGTGGAAGCACTTACATAATCTGTGCTTGAAACAGCATAGTTCAAAGCAATTATTGATAATTTTATATGACTGTCATGAAAAACAAAGAAAGTAATATTTGAAAAAAAATAGCATTCATAATTTCTAATAATTTGCTTTATATTTCAATAATTAATATAATAGTATATAACATACTAATAATGAATTTTTTTCCCTCGAATAAAGATATTATTGATTTTATATGATTTAATTTCATATTACATAATTTTTTGCTTTTTATAGTTTCTGTAATGCAATGTGAAAAAAAAACGGGTAAAATGTTTGCCTTCAATATTGTGTAAAATATTAAATGGATTATTATATTCTAGAAACATTTATTTTCATTGGTAAATATACACTTGAACTCTAAAATCTTAGAATTCATGTATTGATTTCGGTCCGGGATTTGAATCTCGGCGAATGGACGTTTTCATGGTTTTCCTCGTGTGTTACGGATCTACGAACCAGTTTCCCTCAGAAAGTCCTTGTGTGCTTCCTTGTAATCGACTAAACAAAACTCAACTATGTATTGATTTCAGAATTAATGTTCTTTGTGTTGATGTATTGATTTTGTAAGTGAAGAGATTTGAGAGTTAGATTTTTGTAAGTGAAGAGATTTTAGAATTAGATTCTGTAAGTGAAGAGATTTGAGGTGTTAAGTGTGGTTTCCCCGAAATTTTTCGATAAGCACCTTGAATGAACTTAAGAATATGCTTCTTTATTCTGTCATATGGTAGAACTAATATTATATATGGAACTTTAAAATGATAGTCAGGTAAGATGCCTTGTAGTGGAAGAAAAGTATTAAATTTTATAATATTTTGTAATGTTGAAGAAAAATGCTTTTTAAATAAATCTTGCAGTTTTTTCATCATATTAAAAGTGGCTAACATATTAAAGTTTTGTGATGTCGCTAAGTTCAACGTCACTACAGATATTTTTACGGCTTTATTTGACATTAAAAAAATATTATATGTATATATTTGCAGCTATTGCGCAAGTATTACATGCTTTTAATTTAATTTATTTTCCAATTGAAATTTTGTTATTCATGAAAACATTTTTAACAATTTGCATTCAAGTTACTTTAAAACAATTTTTGGAATTAAACCTCCTACTTATGGGTTCACTCTTTTTAGATACTTCTACAATAAATTATTATTAACTTACTTTGCAGCAATTGCGCAAGAAGTAGAATAACTTGCTTTCGCACTAAATGAATTTAAGATCATACAACATTTGATATATATGTTACAGTGAAACACCGAAATCTGGAGAATGTCGACTTTCACCGGTGAATGTCAACATTCACATAGTCTCTTCGTGTATGTCCGAAATATTTGCCAAATAATCTTATTTCTGACTTACACCGGTCAATGTCGACATTCACCATGCACTAACGGTAAATGTTGAACATATAACAATATCATATTTTCTTCTCCGTAATTCAGTCGCGAATAAACGCACTTGAGACTTGAAATAAGAACTTAAGAACATGAGAACCTAAAACACACAATACATTCAAAATGAGAAAGGAAAATAATAGAAGTTAAAAACTTACTTAATTATACAGTACGTTCCAAAGAGAAAATAAAATAACAGTAATAAAAAACTTGCTAAATTATGTGATTCAAATCTTATTTATTGCAACAACTTAAACTGTTATGGCACTTTATGAACTCTCTTTTTGACTTTCACCAGAGCATATCAGTGATTGTCGACATACACCGGTGAGAGTCCGAATATACAAGAATGTAGTGCAATATTCGGTCTTTCACCGGCGTATTTGGTGAATGTTGATATTCTCCGGTGAAAGTCGACATACTCCAATTTCGGTCTTTCACGGTAACATTATATATATATATATATAAATTGTAGTAAGCTCGCCTATAAGTTACCAGGAGCTGCTGCTCCAAAAAGTTCAACACGTTTTAAAAAATTAATACATATGAAAATCAAACCATTAAACATGTAAAACATTAAAAAAACAGAATCAGATAAAACAAAGTATGCGGAAAATGGTAAATTAGCCCAACTCGACTTCCAAACTGGCTTTTCAAGGGAAATTTAATTTTGTTTGAACGTCGAATCAAGCTAACCCCATTACGCGTTTCGCCGAAACAAGACAATTGAAACTTTTTCGCTACTTGTATTTTTTTTGTAAAATTTTTTTTGTCATGTTTAATGGTTTGATTTTCATATGTATTAATTTTTTAAAACATGTTAAACTTTTTGGAGCAGCAGCTCCTGGTAACTTATAGGCGAGCTTACTACAATTTTTATATTTTACTTATTTTGCAGCATATTGCGCAAGATGTATGTTTTCTAGACCAAATTGGTTTTTCAAAATTGTAATTACGACCTTGCTTGATATATTATATATCTTCTACTTTCTAGCCATATATTGTACTTCTGGAATAATCGTTATCACTTACTACCATATAAGCGAATCAGTTTGTTTTAACTAAATAATTAGTAATACCATACTACTTAAAATACATTTTCAATAATTGATTAGTCAATACTTAGTTAACCTTACGATTAGCACTTTCGTTCAGTGATATAAGCTATTTTTTCAAGCTGTCAGAACCATTAATAGACATTTAAAAACATCAGTTATGATTAAATCTGACTGATAAAACAATCCTAAAAATACTCTTCAGAATTTTCTGAATTCATTTGTCTGATATGCAGTCAATTCCACTGTGTAGATCTTCATATTTTTTATGTAATGATAAATTTATTCGAATATATATATACTTCCCGTGACATGACTCACAAGTTTAATCTCTAGCAATCTTACATAGCTGATGCTTAAAATGTAATGTTCATATCAAATGTTTTCTCCCGAATTCTAAATCATATTATCCAATCCTATTCCAGGTGTATCTCCGATCTTTGAACGTTACGCATTTTGCAACTTTACAGAGCTCAAAGTAATAAAGTTTTAATTTTTGTATTAAACGTCTTGTCCCACATTATGAATCATACTACCCCATTCCGTGTATATTAGTTCGATGAAAGATCTTAACCCACCCCTTCTACCTACAAAGGAGGAAAGAAATAAAGACAGCAACCACCTCTTCTCGAAATTCGAAGCCTCCCGTGTCTCCTTCCCGCCTACTCTTCCGATGTCTGCGATTTGGCGCTTTTGAGTTGGCGCTGTTTGGGGTCGCTGAGCAACCCAGCTGAAACAAACCAGAGAAGTACACTCGAACTCAGCCGAACCGAAGAATATGTATAGACGTTCTTTGGCAGAACGGTCGTTTTCGTTAGTTTTGGCTGCGCGCTGGCGACGGTACAAAATCTTGTTCGATATCTGTGGTAGCATCTTTGCCGCTCTTCTCCGTTCACTTTCTTTTTTCTTTGTTGTGAATATCTGCTACAGTTTTAAAGGATTACACGCTTGTGATGCATGATTAGCCACGATTCTTTATCAAATTACCAACCGAAAATATTAGGATCAAAAGTAAGTTACTTATTTTCCCAAGTTTTTGCAATAATCTTTTAGTACGAGTGTTTAGTTCGAATAATGATAATAAGCAGTAATTGGCAATAAGTACTAAAGTAAAATACTTTTACTAAGATTCTAGAATTTAGTTCGTCGCTATAGTGAAGATTAGTATTGGAGGACCCTATTAAAAGGTTTCTGGCCGTGGGCACTTGTTCTTTTCGGGACCCTCGAAGTCTGTTTTCCTTATATTTATGAGCGTAATTAAGAATATGTAGAATTACAGGATGATTTGATATCGTCTATAATTTGTTTCCCTAAGACCTAGCAACAATAGAGGCATGATTTAGCTGTAACTTATATTCTTATGATTTGTTTTCTGTAACTTATATTCTTATGATTTGTTTTCTGTAACTTATGATCTTATGATTTGGTTTCTGTAACTTATAGATTCTTATGATTTGTTTTCTGTAACTTATATTCTTATTCTTATGATTTGTTTTCTGTAACTTATATTCTTATGATTTGTTTTCTGTAACTTATATTCTTATGATTTGCCTGTTGAGAGAGAAATTTGTCTGTTCTGTAAAACAACATGACTTGCGTTAGAGAAAATAAAATTATGAATGTTTTTATTATAATTAGGGGTAATTGATCATTTGGGCACAAAAAAGTAATAATATATGCAAATTTAAAATTCCTGGCTCAGAAATTATCCATTATTTAAAATTTTAACGCTGTTACCAGAATCGGCCTTAGAAAAACTCCGAAATTATACCTGCAAAAACCACCACTGCGAGTTTTTTTCCTTCTGATTTTAACATTTTGAAGTAAATAAAAAATAAAAAGGAAATTACAAAATAAAACCTTGTAAAAATTATGTAATCATAAAGTGTTCTTTGTTGCATAATCAGACATGCATGGTTATGGTTTACCACAAAGAAGGAATACCAGAAAAATTGTAAAATGTTTTGAATAACAGCATTTGCTTCACTCCCTGACAACCTAGTTTCAAATTTAACGCTGTTTTCAATAGATCTCGATCATGCGTGTGCAGGACAAAAATTTACTTGTATGATTATTGTAAATGCATGTATAATAATTTATTCCAAAATCAAGAAATGCTGTTTACGATATATATCACGATTCACGATATTTCGAATAAAAACACGGGGTATCAAATGCAAATGTCTAAAACTTTCTTAAAGAAATTTTAAAGTAAACATAAAAAGGCAAAAAATTGTAAATGTGACGTAAACTTTAATGAATTTAAAGAAAGGTTTAACTTAAAATGTTAAACGTTAGCGGATCTGTAAATCCGTGCAGGTTTATAATCAATTACATTATAATTTTACTGATTTTATACATTCCCAAAACTTTTCTTGCAACGGCAAGAACAGCTTTAACGTGAGAGAAGTTGTTTTGTTTATTTGTTTCAGGTTTGAACTTTCACTCATTATAAATATATTATTATTCACATTTCGTGTTTTTAATATTTGGATTTCAGCTGAACATTTCCAATTGCTCTTCTGCTTCTGTGTGCAATTTTAAACTTCTCGTTTATAATCATGTAATTTCACTGTCAATATTCTCAGGTTTAGGTAATTAAAGGTTTGAATCACGTTATAGTTGTAGATTATTTTTGATTAAACCCCATTCAAAATCGTTGACTGTAACATTAAAAACTCTAAATAGTTAAAAATAAAGTGATGTATATAACAAACAGCTGCGATATCAGCATGTTCGAAAAGATTCGTATTTTTATGACATATTTACGTGAGAAGTTCGAATGTGGTGCAGTATTTATGTTATATCGCTCGTTATTGCATCATTGCTTATGAATATTATGGTGAATTACTATTTAAAAAAAATTATTATTTTTTATATTTGGTAATCAAGTTAGCAAATTCTTCTGAGAAGACTCGTTTAAAATTTACTTTCAGTTAATGATGAATTACTATTTAAAAAAAATTAATTATTTGTATATTTGGTAATCAAGTTAGAAAATTTTCCAGAGAAGACTCGTTTAAAATTTACTTTCAGTTAATGATGAATTACTATTTAAAAAAAAATAATTATTTGTATATTTGGTAATCAAGTTAGCAAATTTTCCTAAGAAGACTCGTTTAAAATTTACTTTCAGTTAATGATGAATTACTATTTAAAAAAAAAATTATTATTTTTATATTTGGTAATCAAGTTAACAAATTTTCCTGAGAAGACTCGTTTAAAATTTACTTTCAGTTAATGATGAATTACTATTAAAAAAAAAATTAATTATTTTTATATTTGTAATCAAGTTAGCAAATTTTCCTGAGAAGACTCGTTTAAAATTTACTTTCAGTTAATGATTAATTATTTTATATTTGGTAATCAAGTTAACAAATTTTCCTGAGAAGACTCGTTTAAAATTTACTTTCAGTTAATGATGAATTACTTTTTAAAAAAAATTAATTATTTTTATGTTTGGTAATCAAGTTAACAAATTTTCCTGAGAAGACTCGTTTAAAATTTACTTTCAGTTAATGAATGCTTCATTAAAACTTGCATTTAAATAAATCAAAAGTCTTACCCTTATTGAAAATTAGTCAAAGTTGGCGTATATATTTTTTGAAACATCAAAAGTATCTCAGATATCCCTAAACCGTGATAATTCACTTTTAATATATCCACTTTTAATATGCCATTTTTAATAATCTAGTGTTATGTTTGGAAAGCCCAAACAAGCTATATTAAATATTGTTTGCAACTTTTGATGTCATTGGGATTAGATACTTTTGATTGGTTTTGAAATGCTGAATGAACTGAGTTAGGGAACATCAATTGAAAATTATTTGAATTCATTGCAAGTTGATTATTATAGTTTTTATTATCGCATATGCAAAAATGTTACTTATTTGAGGGAACGTACATTTTTTTCCTTCTGCACTTTTCCCGCAGGATCATCGTTGTTGTAGTAAAAACAAATATACAGGGGCACATAAAGACGACCAATTTCTTTGTTAGCTTCCGATTGAAATGCTCTCAAATATTATTTCATTGTTAGAAAGCTGTAAATTTTGAATCGGTACATTCTAGTCAGTTCTTATAAAGGCTCGAGTGTTCGGTAATATATATATATATCGAAAATTGGAGAATAAAAATGTGATCCTTCATTATTCATCTAATAAAATATAATAGATCTTTGTTAATCAGATTTTGACTGTAATTTGCAACATTTTTGAACCCTAAAGTATGAAACCCAATTTCAAAAACCCTCAAGTGTTTTGTAAATGAAACTATAATTTTGACTACTGAGCGGAATTTTTATCACGTGACGTATTATAGTTTCAAAAAAAACGTTTACGAAACATATGTACGTACCCGATACGAAAACTTTGTTAGTGATAAAGATGTGATATGGAAACTTCAGGTTTTTTAGTTTTAACATTTGGTGTACTGTATTGTTGAAGTTTCAAAAATGGATATTTAAAAAATTTTGAAAAGTTTGGAAAATAATTTGAAAGCTCAGGTTTGACTTAAACTCCTGGAACAGTTTTAAGCTAAGCAGTTACGATAGGTGTCCTAGTTTCAGGATGAGCTCCCCTCCGAAAAATTAAAGGTAAAACCTAAAGCTTATATTTAAAATGATCAATAAAAAATGGCAAAGATAAATGATAGAAAAATATCTTCTGTGATATTATTTCATCGCACGTTAACGCTGCATAGACACTCCTCAATTATTTAGCAAAGAAATTATATAATTCTTTAAGATGCAACTGTTTCACTGCATTGGTTGCTCACGAAGTCTGCGACAAATATTTCCTTCAAGTTGCAATAATTTTTTTTTTTTTTTTTTTTCCGCCAGGATGCGAAAACCATGGAGTGAAAACTGTAAACACTACGAAATATTTCTTCAGATTTATTTAGAAAAGAAGGATTGTCTTGTTATGAACAAAATACTTTGCGAATGAACCATACCCAAACTATTTCTATAAGAAGCAATTCGTATTTAGATTTTTTAAATTCGATATTCTAAAATGTATATTTCACATTGGAGAGGGAGCATTAATTTGGAATTATTTAAATTAATAGCAATTATAAAACTTAATTGTTTTAAACTAACAATTAATAAGAATGCTATATTTCTAGAATTTTTGATGTAATATAGTTTATGTAATGTAGTTGAAAATAGGCATTTTATTGGAGGCGAAAGTAATTAACATTATATAATTTTGTTTGTTCACCCCGACCACTTTGCATGTTACTATGGAACGGAACATTTATATAAGACAGTTTTAATAGGATAAAGAATCGCTAACAGTTGCAACTATCTATGTAGAAGGGCCGGTATAAAAATATGAATTTCGTATATTGTATCATATAACCAAAATTGTAACAGTTATCTATTTTATTGAATATTTGAAACTGTAACCATTGGTTTACGACCAACTGTTTAAGAGATATAATTTGTGTGCAACCTTTCTGAAATATCTATTTATATAGTGGTTGCCTCTACGCGCGTCTCGGTAAAGGTGCAAAACTCAGTGAGAAAGGTTAAATTTTGTATAGTTCTTTTTACTTCCTTGTCGGAAGTATAGTAATCGCGAAAGATTTCGTGTATAAAATTTCAACGAAAATATCCATTTTGACTTTTTTTGTGTGTGTGTGTGTGTGTGTGTGTGTGTGTTGTTTTGGTTGATATCGGTACATACGGGCAGAATAAAAGACTGTTTTTGTTTTCCAAAACGGAGCATAAAATAGATGTGAAATGAATTCAAAATAGTTTTTTTTTGTGAAATCTGTACGTACGTATGTATCTTGCATAAAACTAAAAAATAATTAGTCGTAGAACATCGGAATTTTGTATATGGGAATGCTGTAACATGTAGTCGCACAAGAATTTTAAATATCAAAAATTCATGTTTCCACATTAAAAAATTTAAAATTCGAAATTAAAGAAAATTTTGGACAAATAACGAAATCTAACTTTTAATGCGATCTCCCGGTTTTTATAGTTATATTTCGGAAGGTTTTTA